TGGTATGTATTTACCTCAATGTAAGTGATCTTAAGATCATCGATGATGACTGCATAGCGAGCAGTGCGAGTGAATCCAGGTGTCTCAACTGACAGGCCCAGGGATTTGGACCATTCAGCACCAGTGTCTGATAGAGTCAGGATCTGTAAAATTGACGTGAGCTCCCATTCTCCAGCTCGGCCCTAAATTTAGATGACCGACTTTATCTTTCAACCCTTCCGCTCGACCCCATCCACTCATAACGAATGCGTCGTTCGACGCGAGGACAGCGATCACGTCAACGCCTTTTGCCTTGAACTGATCATATTTTTCGAGATACGGAGGCAAATGTTTGGCGTGGCAAGTGGGCTGTAAGATGGAAGTTGATAAGCCCATGTGCACCTATACCGCATGTCCGTGGGCGCACCGTAAAAGCACCAGGAACGGAGACAAGGACGACTTTCTTGCCTTTCCATTCTTCTGTTGAGAGCTTGATCGCTGATGGAATCGATCATGAATTGATATTGCTACTCCAATCTCTTTCACTATTTGACACTTACGAATGCCACACGCGAGCTGGTCAGAGACGTGTTGGAGTGAGTACATATTTAGAAAGTTTGGGCCACTGAATTGTAACTCACGCTGTCTTCGAGTGCGGAAGTGTAAGGGATATAAGTGAAGGTTCCCTGCGGGAGAGTATCGCCGACTTTGACCGATGGCATGATTGGATTCTATGTGTTGATGGTGGAAGTCGTTGAGATGATCGTTCGCAGAGAATTGGGCTTTTAACTGCCTGATAGGAGATGACGACCATCTCCGTCATTCTAAACTCACCACACGTGATTAACTCAGGAATAATATTAGAGTTGGTCAGCTTGTGAGGCACGTCCTTGAGTCAGACTTCTGAGTAAACGGCATAGACCATTGTGCTTAGTGTCATGATGACGAGGGCGAGGGGACCTTGAACAACGCCATCGCAAAGATTCTGGAGATGCTCTTTCCTGGGAACGAAAGGAAGTGAGCTGGCGGCGAGGCAGTGACGAGAAAATCGTCATGGTTGGAGATAGCATCAACAGAAGATATTGCAAACCTGCGAGAGGCGATTTGCTACTTCCTTATGGCAACAATCAACTGTAGCAATGAAGCCAAAACCTTTCCACCACGAGCGAAAATTGGCAACAGTTTGCTAAGTGTATTCCCGTGGCCGAGGTTTGTGTCGCAGCGGCGCCATAAAGAGTACTTTCTGTTGCCAATATCGATAGAACAGCCTGAATCATCGTCGTTGGAGATGAGTTATAGTTATCCTTGTTTGGCGAAGAGTGAACCGTGACTTGATACTTGACAAAAACCTCCACAATGCAAAAACGTTGCTGGTATGCCCGTGTCTACTTCAGTATTACCAGAAAGGCATACCAGGTCTGGAAGAAAATGGCATGAGCCATGGCAGCGATGTCGTGCTCTTTCAAATACATACTCCAAACCAGGGTATTCGGAGTGCCGGAGATCCACTGTCAATTTCCTCAGCTCGTCACAGCCACCCGACCAGCAAGGATCTTATTCCACGGTCTACAACGTTCTACATCAATGACCTCTGTGGTCGATTGAACTTCATCACTCGCTGGAGCTCAAGCCGCATTTGTCTATCCCTTCTTTTGCGACTTGTGGATCACGATCATAATCCGCCAGACCAGACCTCTCCATCATTTGTTCTCTCACAACTTTGGCTTGACCATAACACCTTTGGATCACGGGCCGTTGTTGATGAATAAATCAAGTTATACATGTATCAAATAAAAGGCTGATTCCTTTAACTGCGTTAGGGTACCCACCTCGGACATAGTAACGATGTACGTCCAACTGTATAATTCAGGTTTTGTCCGCTGAAATCTCACCCTAGGGCGCGTTCTCGAAATTCAATGTAAGTTGATTGGGGCTTGAGCTTGACTTCAAATGATATCTTGTGACGATCTGTGTTACCTTTTAGGGCATTGTCGCGTCTACCTTCAGTGTGTGTCGTAGTGAGCTCCAATGCTGAGCAATATCGAATGGTAGATATAAGTGGTGCTCCTAGTGGCATAGCCATCCGTGAAAGGCTGTTAGCCAAGGTCCGTCTTCTTACGCTATATATGCGAGTATCGACAAAATTCCTACAGCTCTGTATACCTGACGAGAACCAACCAAACTTCTCAATATACCAGACTGAGATCGGATCGTATGCTATTGGCGGCGCGCTAACGGACTTACGGCTCTTTGAGCTGTGTCGCGATTATGGTGATCCAGCTGGTTCCCTCAAGTTCTTTATATCGCCCTATCCAGACAGACCCGCATCTCAAGGCGTAGGTGGTGGCTACATACCAGTAGGGCCATAGTGTCTGTTGGTATTCACGCTACTAAAGCTCTTCATAGGCATATTACTACTCTGGTGGTAGAAGCTACTGAGGCCTTTTTATGACAACTTCCGCTTTCTTTCTCTAACTCGGACACGAAATGCCCTCGGACGTAACTGTAGCCAAGCGATACGATTCTCTAGTGAAGAAACACAAATTCTGGACATTATTAACTCCTGGACGTGTACGATAGCAAGGTGAATGCAAAGAAAGACTTTTCAATCACTGCTACAAGGCTCCATTCTCTCTCGATAATCCCTCGCCCGTCAAGCTTGGCAGTTACAGGTCAGTCAACGTACGGCCGTACCTTGTTTTGAGGTACCTAACTCCAAGGCCTATTGTGCTTGAGATGCCCACTGTAAGGGACCACTCACTCCCTCTATTCCTGGCCATCTCGACAGAGTACTCCGGCGGCTGAATCGCCTGTTTATGCAAGCGTCTCTCCCTGCATTTCAGCATCTACCCCGAGGTCGTATCCAAGGCCTGAGAGGGCGTTCAGCACCCCCTCATGCATTTCCGAGCAACCTGCGGATCATCGGAATACCTAACCGAGTGGCCTGCCCTGCGGCCTGAATCATAACGGGACGTTTTGGATGATCAAGTGAATGAAACGCGACGTCTCAAGGCTGTGCGAGCAGCCCCTCTTCGGGAGCCCAGTATACACATGCCGGGTTCTTCTCAACCTTAATCTTGGAACGGTGTCCAACTCTGACTATCTCTCACCACGGATCCTCGATTCCCAGGTCTCGTGTGCGGTCATACCTCCCATCTGTGGTGTCCACAGCATCTGATTTAGATGATTAAGATCGTAATTCAGGTACAGCAGCTGTTGGCGGCACACGTCTCTTCTTTGTATTGATTAGGGTGAGTGTGGTGGGAAGGCCTGTGGCAAAATTTATTCTAGACAAGGCTGATCAATTGACGCTAGAGGTCAACAAGACCCCAGCTGTGAAACACCGACCCTGGCTGAGTGTAAACAAGATATCAATCCGATCGGTTCTTGACAAACATTTCGTCAACACGTAGCCCAGGGCCACCTGGCCTCATTCATGATCATTCATTAGACCTGCACGCCTTGGGTAGCGTTTTTAGCGGTATCAAAGGGTGTGAATTACTTTATCTTTTACTAAAGCTCCAACCAGCCAACCCGAGGACATATGTAATTCCCGCCCGGAAGTATAGATGCATGTCCCGTCCGCCCTGGGTGGAGCCTAAGCGGTTGCATACTTGGTCCACGGAGTAATTTATGGCAGTAACCTGGCGTTTACTGTGGTATGTATTTATTTCGTCTTGCAATGCTGGCTCTCCGGAGATCAATGCATAATGTTCATTTGCTTACTATGTAACGTTCAAAGGGGATGCGACTAATGTCGGAACCCGATCTGCAAACGCCACTGCTAATCCTCTGTCTTTCTTATCTCAAAATTCGTGAGCGGCATGGGGGTCCC